TTCAGAATGTTGTGGATATTTTGGACACATTGTGGGTTGAAAATAATTTCTTTTTAGAGCAGAGGTTGGGACTTCTAGAACAACTTTGCCAGGGAGGAAACGGGAAGTTATCAGGTATAACAACAACTACTATGACCAACATTCCCCGCACTTTCATGTATTTTCTCTTTTGTTACTTAAAATATCTCCCAGTAGCAAGTAAGAGAGTCACAGGTGGGGAAATGAGACTCAGGGATGAGGTGCTTTACCTAAGACGACCCAGCTCACTGACCGTGAATCTGGACTTTGGGCCTTTAATGCCAAAGCCAGTGCCCTTGTAACTCCCACATTTTCTCTAAAATTTACTCGTTCCCTCAGCAGAATGCCTTTTGAATAATTCCAGTGTGCCGGGAACTATTTAGAATGGGATGGGAAATATGTGGGCTGGGAAAATGAGAGAGAGAGAAGAGTAACACGTTTAGGGCTCTCTGTGTGATGGACAGACGCTATGGCCTGTGATACACGCCCATCGTCACGGGGTCTTCACACCACTCTCGTGAGATACAGTCTCCCCCACCCCCACCCCCGTGTCCGCAGAGCAGACGGGAGCTGCTGGGTCAGTTGGCCAGAGTAGCACTAGCCGCGGTAGGGCTGGGCCTTGCTTCCAGGTCTGTTTGACTCCAAAGCCTGTGCTCCTAATTACGTTGCCTCTGCCATACTCATAACTCTCTTAGCAGCCATAAATTCAGCTCTGTCTGTTAGACCCAGTAAATTTCAAAGTGGAAAATCATTTTTCCAATAAAACTACACTTAGAAAAAAACGATGTTAATGCGCATACATTCTACCCTCATTATGACATCAACCTCCGAGCCAAACTATTTTGCACGTTATAAAGAGCTGTTTTTATGATGAATGGGGATTATATTGGCACTTTAATTGAGTTAGAAACCAAGGTACATGAAAGTTAGTGCATGAGAAATGCAATAAAGAAAAAGCTGTTCAATGTGATTGGAATATATCAAATTACTTTCATACCACCTTTAAATACATAAAGTCCATACCTTTAAATACGTTTAATCAAATTGTTGGATTAAATATTTAAATGCATATTGCACACACATTTTGCTCCTCAAAAAAATCTCTTCCTTTTCTTTTAGTTTTCTATCACATTCTTAACAGATCTCCTGTATGATAAATTTGAATTCCAGGTTTGTGATCACAATTCTTTCTTTGCAACAGACATGGAACTATTGCTCTTTTATATTCAAATATGGTAATCTAGAAGGTGAGCATGTATTTGGATAAAATTATTTAAACTGAAAAAAAAAAACTTCCAACAATGCAGGGTTTTTGACTGAAATATCGGTTCAATTTAAAACATATTAAATCTGTATTTGATTTCTTTTATTCTAGTTCAGATTTGTCCATCATTAAAATAAACACTTAATTCACATGCCCTTAAAATTAATACTTGTATTTGCTTGCTTTAGCATTCAGCAAATTAAAGAGTTTATTTAATTTGGGGCTTGTGGTTTCCTTAAGGTCAAATCTCCATTTTAGAGAAAGAACATGTTACTTAAATTATTTAGTCACATCGAGGGCCTTGAGACAAATCAAATGTCCCTCGGCTTTCTGAAAATGAGATGTCCTGTATTTTACCCTTCTCTAATCCAATCAAAAATATAGAATTGTCAGCGTAACAGTTAGTGCATGGAGCGTGGATTTTTAAAACATAATTGGGATGAGTGTTTTGAGGAATTAATTTGCCCAAATCGTGTTGTGGTTTAGCGCACTACAATATTAGCTTTGTAAAGTACGCATTAAATAGTTCCCATCAATTATGCTTGGCTGTGAATGAATCCGAGGGTTCCTTTTGTTATAAATTACTATTTCCTAAAATGCTTTTGCAGAGAGGCAATGAAACACTTTCAGATTTGGAATGTTTAAAGAGCTGTTCTTTGCCAGTGGTTGATTTTGAGCCAGCTCAACTGTTTATAAGAACTCATAAAACAAAGCAAAGTTGAGGATGGCCCATTTGCTGGTTGCTTCTTTTCCCTCTTTCTGAAATTCTCCTTTGGTTCTTGATGGTGCTGCTTTTCACCACAGAGGACTCAGCTGATAGCTGCTTGGCCACAGAACTGAAGTTAATGATTTGGACTTTTGCATAAAAAGTCTCTTGGTGCTGCTGGTACCTGCTTGCATTTTGAGCATGCAACGTTAACATAAAATCGACAACGATTTTTGCAGCTGTAGGCAAATCCCAGACTCCCCAGATGGAGTCACATGAGAAGATCTATCTTGAAATGGCATAAAGAAGGAGGAATAGGCATCGTGTGTACATACCTACAGCTTGAAGCTAGAGGGAGTGTTCTGAAATATTTCCAAGTGCATTGTGTGAATTCACAGAAGGTTTTGCTCTGGTTGGTCATCAGGCAAAGACCGCTGCTCGTGACTTGGGCAAGGGTTCCCAAGTTCAGCCCATAGTTTGCTCAGTTTTCTGGGCCTTTCAGGAAGACCCAGGAAGAGGCCATTGGAAGCTGGCCCCAGGAGAACTGAGATATTTTGCCTTGATCCCACGGATGGCTGTGATGGGTCAGTAAATCAAAATTCTGCAGGTTGCTTTGGGGTTGTTTTGCCTTTTGAAACCAAATAGAGGCCTATTGGAGGTTTTGCCACAGGCCTGTGGAAATCTGACCATCGAATAAATGCTTTCGCTGTTTGATACTGCTGATTTTTAAAGTAAATTATTTTCTGCAGATAGGCGGAAGGCATCCGCCAGCCCATTCTGATCACCTGCACGCACTCGCTCCAGCCGGTTTGTCAGCCAGCAGGATAATAGGGCCACCTTTCTGTAAATAAGCGCAATAGTTTCTGTTTCCACCCTCTCCAGAGGGCTCCGCGGTTTTGATCTTGACTTTCAGATGGATCTTTCTGAGTTGAGGGGAGGGGTCACTGGATGGGACCAGAGGCCCCCAGGGAGAAAACCGGAGTTGGATAATCTCAAAATGATTGTTGCAACCAAGTTTCTGTCCTTTCAGATGCAGGATTTCTAGCAAGACAGGGTCTGGTGAAATTTATTAGAAATAAATCTGAGTTGACGCATTTGGAGGGTAATTCAGAGAAGAAAGGCAGGATGAGACAGAGAGGCAGCAAACACCGGGCTGCGTTCCTTCAAACTGACCTCATGGAGGTGTGAGAGCGGCTCTTGGGACAGACGGACCCTGAAGGGTCCTGGGCACCTGCCCCTCAAAAGCTCTGGTAGGAGGGAGCCCCTCAGCCAGGCGCGGAGAAGGGGGCAGGGCGTGAGCACATGATGAGGCTGCAGTTCGTGGTTTAATTAGGCTTGAAAAGGGGAAAACTGGACTAAATTAGATGTATTACAGAATCAGTTGTATGGCTTGAGTTCCCCCTAAGTTTCCTTGGGTACTCCTTGTTTTTTTTTTTTTTTTTTTTGCTTTTTTTTTGAACATCTGAAGGCCGCAGTCTGTAGATCCTTGATTATTTAGGAAGGAACCTTTCAACCCAAGAAGAGCCGTCAAGAAATGGGGTTTACTTTCATAGACTCTGCCTGAGAAAACCCCTTCGTCTCAGCCCCCGGTGCCGGCAGTGAACGGAGCAGGGTTTCTTGCGGGAGCCGTAAATCTGCCACCAGATGTCTCTGCAGCCCGCTCGGCAGAATGCTAACGAGCACCGGGGCGGGGGAGGCCGGAGCCCTGGCTTTCTGGGGACCTCCAGGTGCATTCCCTCGCGTTGTAAATGAAGCAGAAGCCGCCGAGTGTGTGGTTTGTGTGTGGTGTGTGTGTAATGTGTGTGTGCCCCGCATGTGCGGTTTGTGTTTAGTGTGTGGTGTATGTGTGTAATGTGTAGTGTGTGTTGTGTGTGTGTAGTGTGTTCGTAGTGTGTGTGCAGCGTGTGTGCGTGCGTGTTCTTCCCTGAGCTGCCTGGGGCTCCCCGGCCCCCCCCCGCCCCCCCCCCCTTCCCCCGTTCCCCCCCTCCCCCCGGCCCCCCCCCCGGCCCCCGGCCGGGGGGGCCGGGGGGGGGGGCCCCCCCCCCCCCCCCCCCCCCAGCGCTGAGAAGAACAGTGACTTGCCTTCCCGTTTGTCACTCGGTTTTGGAAGCTTGAAAACATCTCACTGGAGGACTGGCGGGCAAGCTCGTTAGGCAAACTAAACATCTATCTGGGGGAATAACGGGACGGTTGCCTAATCTTTGGAGTACTAGATGATGCAAAGACCCCACCAATTTGACCAAGAAGACCGTTGAGGGAGAGAGACCCAGCCAGATGAGCGGGGTTGGATTTGGCCTCTCCTGCCGTCAGGCTGCTCTGTGTGGGTACAAAGATTGAAGCCATCAGTGTCCTTCCCTGTGCGTCTTGGCATGAGCGGCCCATGATCTTGCACACATGGTGTGCACACAGTCTTCCTGCCCCGCTGGAGAGTCAGCCCGGTCCAGTCTGCGGCGTCACGCGCGGCCCCACGCATACCGTGGGTTTGGAAGGACGCGGTGCCCGTTTCTAGGAGGCACGGCTTGTGCAGCTGTGTGCTTTTCGCTGAGTCGTCAGGCCGAAGTCTCCAGTTTAGGAACAGTTCCAGATAAAGGGCCGAGATACTAAGGATCGTTCAGTGAGTGAGTTGGTATCTGAAGAAAACAAGAGAACGTTTAATAACGAACAATCGGCCACAAAATATGACTCAGTGTGATTCATGCACTTCATCTCATCACCCTCGTCCACACGTCGTTCTTGTCGGCAGCAACACTCTGTCCTTTGTGGAGGCTGGAAGCTGGGCTACAGAGAATCATAAAATGCAGGCCTGATCCTATTCCAGAAAATAGAGCCTGAGAGAATTTTCATATATTTTCTCCTCCCCCGAAGGTCACACATGCATAATATTTTGTTTTAAAAAAACTAGCTGAGGATGGATATTATGAAAACCAGAGGCAGAACCTGGATGGTGGCGGGTGGGGGGGCTGTTTGCAGGCTCTGTCAACGGCGTGATGCAGTGTGATTCTTTTTCAACAGCTGATGGAGGGTGGCAAGGAGTGGACTGAGGTGCCCCAGGAGGGTCTGCAGTACCACCGGCAGAAGGAAGACTCCTTGGAGGCCCCCGGTGAGGGGCTGTACTTGAAGATCCAAAACACTAGTCGCTGCCACACGGGGACATACAGGTGCACCGTGGAGGAGCAGGACGGGCAGAGAAACCAAAGCGGCACAGTGACCTTGAAAGTGACAGGTGAGGTGACCCGCTGCACCTGTTTCCCCCTTGCAAAATGCGTGTGCACTTGCAGTAGGCCCTAAAACCCTCTCAGCCGGAGTCTAACTGGGAGCTTTGGATCGCATCTGTGCCTGAAAGCTAAATTCTCCTACAAGAATGTCAGAACTTTTTCTGCTCCTTCCTCCCTCCCCCCTTGCCTCCCTTCTTCCTTCCTTCTCTCCTCCCCCCTTCCTTCCTTTTTTTCCTTCCTTCTTAATAAAGACAGATCCGTCCTAGTCAGATAAATGCCAGATGTAGCCAAACCACTAATCAGGGTGTTGTTTATTCATACGAGAGTCCTTTGAAGCAAATAGGAAGTATTCAAGACTAATTTTTGGAGAAAGGGTATAGTCCTGAATACATCAGGGTACTGTAGGGCCTTTCTAACCTGGCCTAAGGGGGGCTGCGTCATGTTGCCACCTTTTTACCATGAGAACAGCATCTCCTTCCCATTTACGGTGATGACTTTGCCCAATACCTCAACTAGGGCCGAAGAAAAAGGACACAGCGAGAAAATAATGTTCCAGTGACAGAACACACATTTTTGCTCTATGCAGTAATACCAAGAATTGAGCTCCAGGATGAGGATTATCTCTTTGGATTTCTTTCCCATACTTTTTCTTTATGGAGCTTAAAATATGCCTTGCATTTGACTTTTGCCCAGCGCTTATTAGTGGTGGGGGCTTGAAATGACAAACATGTTGTTGTCATAGAGTTTCCTGATTTTTGTACCTTAACAACTTTTTCCTTTTATTGGGAATCTAAAAGGAATCTGACTTAAGAGAATATTCCTTTTTCACAAGAACAGGATCACTGTGTTGGGCTCAGTGTTTGGATTTGGTTCACTGTTACACACACACACACACACACACCCCTTATGCCCTTCTCAATCTCAAGCCCCTTAGGCTGCTTTGTTGGTCTTCATGCACTTGCTACATCCGACACGGTGCGCTCTGTGCTGGTGTCCGCAGTGGCTGTCACACGGTAGGCTGTGTGTGAATTCACGCTCACACGAGTGAGGGAGGGAGAGCAGAGAGAGGAGGCGTGTTGTGTGGGGTGTGGAGCCGAGAGAAATCGAGAACAGCTGCTTTCCTCTCCTCTCCCGACCACGTTGCCTGCAAGTTAGCTGGTTAGACTCCAGAGTCTCTGGGATCGGGTTCAGCTCGGAGCAATGCTGCTCACTAGTGTGTGACCTTGGGCAAATCACCGTCCTCTCATCTCTAAAATGGGAGCGACCGCATCTCCAACATGTGCTTATGGTGACGGTTGAGGGGGATATTGCACTAAAATGCTTCGCCCCTTGCCTGGGATACACTGAGTGCCAGATAAAGGTTAGGAACCATTAGGAAAATGGCTCTCCACCTTTCTTTTCTCTAGTCACAGACCCTGGCGAGAATCCATCTCTGCCGATACTCAGGAGATGTTGAATCCAGCCTCAGGGGTTGCCAGCAATCTCCAGGCCCATCCCGGCCCCAGGGGAGGACCTCCTCCACCTGCCCCTGCCTGGGCCTTCGAGCAGATTCAGCACATGTTGGATGTCATGTCTGAGTGAGGAGAAGCCACCCTTGCTCTGTCTGCTCCTTCTGCCTTTGCATCCCCAAATGCTGCAGCCACAGCCTTTGGCAGCCCCCCGGGGAGCCCCTTAGCCCACCTTTGCGGGGGGCCTTGGCGGAGGAGCTTTCAGGATTCTATAGAGACGTGCTGACTTCTTCACTCATAGCCCGGCAGCTCACCCGCCCTGTTCCTTCATCCCCCGGCCTCCTGCGGGTAGAGCACCTAGTAGTCTCCACAGCACAGATTCACAAATGGTGCGTCATCCGGTGTGAAGGCATCAGAGAAGCCAGGAAAGGCCGGGCCTCTGAAATGGAGGCAGGTGGGCAACGGGGTCAGTCTGGCCTCGGACTACTGGCTCTGCCCCGGCCTCACTCCCTCCGCCTCTCCGCGCCCCGAGCCCTTCATCTGTAAGATGGGGGTACTCACACCTGCCTCCAGTGATCGAGTGAGATCCATAGGCCAGGCCCGCTGCACACGGCCAGGCACAGGTGCGAGTGAGCTCCAGCCGCCACGGTCACCGCTCTTGCCGCTGTCCCTCGCGCTCGTCTTCCCGATGGCCCAGACGTGAGCTTAGGAGTGGGAGACAAGCAAGACGCGGAAAAAACCCGGCGCAAAGCATTCCTAGCTTTTTATCATGGTCGCAAAGTCCTGTTAAATGGCCTCACGTGTTCCTCTTTTTTTTTTTTTTTTTTTTTAAGGTTGCCCTAAGGAACCCAAAGAAGAGACTTTTCAGAAATACCGAGCTGAGATTGTACTGTTGTTGGCTCTGGTTGTCTTCTACTTAACACTCATTATTTTCACTTGTGTAAGTATCTTTTTAAAAACACCGATTATGATGAAAAGATCACCCGGGGCACCAACCCAAATATATTTTGTAGGCAGCGTGAATCATTTAATGGTGGCGAGAGATGTTCTTCCCTGAACCTTGCACTTGCCGAGGCGCCCGCGCTGTGAGCTCATTGTGGGAAGCGCCGGGCTTGTTTTCAATCTGCTTGCTCTGCGCAGAGCGCTGCAAAGAGAAAACACAGTAAGGTGTGCGAGGGAGGTTTGAGAAGGCCCCGGGTGGGGACAGTGGTGGAGAGTGCAGCACCAACCTTCCACCGTCCTGGGGCAAAGGCACCTCTCTTGCTGTAGGCTTGTGAGCCCGTGCAGCCACGGTGGTAGACCAGCCTCCTTCTCCTGGCCTTGAACTGTTTCCTCCTGGCGGGTTCTCTCCTCTTACATTTTGGGAACTTCCACCTACTCCTTGAGAATTAACCCTGAGAAGTCAGGATAGTGGGGCATATACAGGGAGTGTCCTGGGGTGCTTAAGTGTCCTTGACATGCCCTTGAACTGTTGGTAGCAGGCTCTCCAGCTTCAAGACCCTGAACCTCTTTCTGCATGGCCATGCGCCTGGATTGACCAAAGTTGTAGGGGAGCAAGGCCAGCTCTGGGCCTGATGCACTAGGAAGTGATCTGTCGCATATGTCCCAGTAGCGTCAGGAAGGACAGCCTACTAACAGGACAGAGCTCACCCAAGAGCTGTCCCAGGGCTAGTTCTTGTCACTTACTGGCCCCCTCTACTCACTTCCTTGCCTCTCTGGCCACGGACTCGTCTCTTGGGTGCTATTTTGGATATCAGCCAATCCAGTAAGCGCCTACTGTACAGGCATTAAGCTAGGCACTGATAGGGGGCATAAAAAGGTTATAGGACGTAGCTCCTGCCCTCAAGGAGCTTATGATTTGGTCATTAGAGTTATCTGCACCCAAGATGGTTAGAATTACTAGAGAGAAATTTTAAGATTGAGTGACTTTAGTTTCTTGTTGGCAAATGCCTGTCTCTGTGGGCACTGATTTTCCTTGCAGGTAACTAACAGTAGAGGCTTGCAATGGCCCCAGCCTGTAGTCAGGGAATCTCGTGGTCAGTTTGGAGTTGGCAGTGAAATAGTAGGAGCCCCCTTGTAGACTGAGTGAGGATGCCAGAATGAGCTGGCCAGCCAGCTCTTAGGGAACGAGGCATTTTCCCGATTATTCATCTCTTGACTTACCTCTTTTACTTTTCAGAAGTTTGCACAACAACAGAGTATTTTTCCAGATTTTTCTAAGCCTGTCATGGAACGAGCTTTTCTCCCAGTCACCTTCCCACAGAAACATCTGGAGCCAGTGACTCTTCACAAGACAGAACTGGTATGAGCAGGATTTCTGCAGGTTGTTTTTCCAAAAGTCGAAGAAGGCTCAGTGGTACGCCTGGACGTCCCACAGGACAAGAGAAGAATGAGCCCCACACCGAAGAAGGCATCCTGCCTGTGAAGTCCTTCTGAAACCCCTGACAGTGGGTCTCAGCCCACTTTTTGTGAGCAGGACTTCAGAAACCATTACGTGACCACGTAGCCTGGGGCCACCTGCAGGAAGTCCCTAGTACTGCTGCCTCACAACTACCTTTCTTAGCATTTTCCTCAGCTATCTGGTCAACCTCTTGGAAATCTTTTCAGTCATATACAAGCTATGGTGAGACGCAGTTGGAAGAGGGTCTTGGGAAATACGGACCCGGAGCTGGCCCTGTGATAGACTCTTGAGGACCGCTGTCCTCTGCACATCTGGGAAACATCTCTTTGAATTTGCTTGTGTTTTCTTGTACTAGCCCAGATGGTTTATGTCTGGGAGAAATCGACAGGCCAAACTGTGAGACAGCGGGGAATATTTAGCAAATAATTTCCCAGTGTGAAGGCTCTGCTTTTACTAAGGAGTATTGTGTGTACATAGAAATAACAAGTTGATGAACTGTTCCCCAATGGGGCTTTTTCATCTGTGAAAGACACCCATAAAGAAGCAATAAAGAAGAATGCCACATTTATTTTTATATCCATAGATACCTGTCAAAGAAGGATTTGTTTTTTGTTCTCCTTTTGAAATCTACATCTATGGTTATGTGTCAGGGCTGATGGACAAGTGACCTCAGTATGGAGAGTGAGTGAGATGTCAGAGAGGTCAGAGAACATGACCACAGGACAGCCAGCTAGGTGATGACCTGTTGGAGATGCTGGACCAATCATGCAATCTGGGTTCTAGCCCCGGTTGTCCCACTACCTGACTGTATGATCTTGAACAGGGTCCTCATGATTTCTACTTTCTCAGTTGTAAACCGAAAGGTTGTTGTCTGAGTTGATTGCAATAATGTATGTGAAAATGCTTTGGGAAAGCATAAAGCACTATAAAAATTTGAAGCTCCATTGGGTCATTATCCTTGTTATTACAGTGGTGTTCTAGGCATGAGAGAATGCCTTTCATTTTTCATGTTTTCCATCATTCCAAACAAAGAAGGCCACCAATAAGCCTTTTCCATAGTCTTCTGTGAGTTCTTTTGGGGAAGCGAGGAGGTCATGTCAGTGACACAGCAGCCGAAAGTACTCTAAGATATGGACACACAGGAACCACTGGGCCATGGGGAGAAAGGAGTCCGCAAAATGTTACATTGACATTTTGACAGTTGTTGGGTTTCTCTTGTCAAACCTGGCCCTTTCCCAGCCTGCTTTCCAAAGAGATTTTATCCCATTAGTAGTGCGTGCATTGCCCGTACTGATGTTAGGGAGTCAGAGGGAAGCCAAGGTAATGCAGTGTTCTTGCTTCTTTGTCATACCCTTCACGTCATGAAGTGACTGCATGTGAATAGGGAGTGTTTTTCTTTTTTAGATTTAAAACTACTCCTAAAACTTTGGGATCAGTGCTAGGATGTCTGTAAACTAGTTTGAGAACCAGAACCCAAGATGAAATTCTGGAGATGTAACATTGGCTGAGCCCTTCCAGAGCGAGGGCATTTATGGTCAGTGGACGTCTATGAAACAGCACCCCTTTGTGCCCAAGGATGCCCTGAATCCATCCTCGAGTTGCCTTGCCACCAGGATGTCCATGATCAACGGGACCACATGCGTGACTGCTGGTGAGGGGTGAGGGATGGAAAGAAGGAGGGTCTTGACTTCAGAAGGATGTGGACAGTCAGGGTCTCTGCACCTGGGATTCCTAGGGTTTCACTCAAGATTTGCATATAGGTCCATTACCCTCGAAATGATAAGAACAGTCTAGTACAGTGGCTGTAATAGTTGTAAAAGTATCATAGGTGACTCCTCTTTGGAAAATGGCTCTTTATAAAGATGAATGCTCATAAAATGTCTGTAAAAGCTGTAGATTCCCTTTCAGTGGCATCAACTCCATTCTCAGATGCTTTCCCAGAAGTGCTGGGGAGCCCATTGGCCTGGTAATCACAAGCTCTCTACTCAGCCAGGTTTGAAGCCCAGCCTCAACACTTACAAGCTGTACTTGTAAAACTCTGGGTCGTGGACTGCCTTGTCTGAGCCTCAGTTGGCAGATCTTTAGAATAAGAATAAGAACAGCATCTGCCTAAGAAGTTTGTTGTGAGGATTAAATGAGGTCATAGGTCTAAGAGCTGAGCCCAGGGTCTGGCAAATGGTAAGCCTTAGAGTAATATCAGAGCAAGAAAGAACAAAAAGGCAGCAGAGAAGGTGACCATGAGCCTTTGACAGACGAAGTGGTTTTGTCAAAAGCAAGGAATTGACTTGGTGTAGGAGTTGTGTTGCTTTCAGAGGATGAATACACAATGAAACCAAATACTTCGTGGCCATTGGGATTGCAGTTCAGGAAAGACCAGGGAGGGGGCCACCCCCATTAGCTTGAACTGACTCAAGCGAAAAACATGATGGAGATTTGAAATCAGACTCAACATTTTGCACCTAGTGTTTGGAATGAGAAAAGACTGTGTGTGTGTGTGTGAAAGAGAGAGCAGGGTAAGGTGGGTAGGGCAGAATATATCAAGGAGAGTGAACTGCCTTGATTGAGGAAGGTAGATGATCATGAACCATATTTGTTCTTTGTCTCCACTGGCAGGGAAAGCTTTATTCTCTGGACCCTCCTTGGTCTATGCAGTTAGATCTAAGGTTCAAATAATTTCACTTTGGGATGTCCCAAGACACCAATACAGACATGAATATCAGCACCACATCTTTCCAAAAGAAGGCCTGTGGATTTTGTTTTCATAAAAATTCATAGCAGGTTTCATCATAGGAAACACTGAGCTGCACTCACAGAACCCAACAGAGCCCAATTATTTGCCGGGGTTGCAGGAGAAGGGATCCAGCCACAGCCTGTGGACATAGAGTATGTGAGGCTCATGTGTTTGACCCCATAGCTCAGGGAGAGTCTCAGAATAATGCCGTCTGGTTGTCCCGCCCTTCCCTCATTGGCGACTTTATTTGGCTCGATTAACTGGATCATTGTCTGATACTCCATCTTTCCTATGTTAAAAACAGCCAAAGGCCTAAAAATCCTAGGATAGGAGGTGTTTGCTTAATTCAACAGCAATTAGCCCTCATAGTTTTGCAGCTGATTGTTTGCAGAGCCAGATTTGATCGAATTGGTTGGTAAGATACAATCAATCAGTTCTTTAGTCAGAGTCTTTTATTGCTATTTATTATCCTCTTAAGACTAAGTGTGTTTATTTTCTAATTTTCATTTTTAGATTGCATTCCAAGTTCAAATTCTACCACCTGTAGGGTTCTACCACCTGGAGTGTCTTGTGTGTATGTGTGTGTTGAATGGGTAAAGTTAAACATTAAGTGTGTTTGCTGAGCATTTACTCTGGACAAAGTACTATTGTAGGCATTCTCTGTAATACTCAGAAAAAGCAAGACACACCCATCCTTTCAAGGACTTAAAATCTAGTGGAGGGAGAAATGAGCCTTAAGCTGTAAGCACAGCGACCTGTTAACATGAGGCAAGTAAACAAAGAAGAGTGGGAACACAAACAAAGGACTGTAGGAGGGTCCAACTTCATGTGGGAGCTCCTTAGCAGGCTTTAAAGAACTGATTCCATTTGAACGCAGACTTGAAAGATAAGCAGGATTTTGAATGGTAATAATGGGCGAGGAAGGGCGGTAGGAATGGCAAAGACATGATTGCTAAGGCCTGAGGTAGAGCACACACTTGAACAGCGAATTGCATGAGAGTTCTGTAGGCAGAGGGTACCTAGAGCCCAGGTCACATAGGGAGGAGGCAATAATGGAAGGTAGACACGTTTTTGTAGAGAATTTGTATGGTGGGGCAGTATCGAAGGATTCTGAGCCGGGCAGCCATAAGATAAGGCCCATTTCCAGGACGATAACCTGAAGGATGAAACAAAGGAGCTGGAGGAGGCGGGAAGCAGGAGGATCATCTGGAAGGCAAAGAAAGGAAAGGAAGCCCAAAGAAACACAGCATGGATAGGAGAGAAAGGGAGGAATGGAAATGAGCTCATTTTTATGTGTTGTCTTTTCTATCTTCACTCCTGGGTTTGCTTATGATCCTAGCTGCTGTAAACTTGGGTCTGCTTGCTTTTTTTAAGATCATAGAACAGGAAGAAAGAAGCTATCCCTTCTCTCCTGATCTTTCCATCACAGGTTGAACTTGAATCATCTCAGACCACAGAGAAGGGCCTCGTGTGTCACAGCCATTGCGATAGCTCATAGGACTCTGGTGGCGGTGTAGTACCGGATATTGCATGGGTAAAGCTGGTTTTATCCCTCTTTGCGCCCACTCCTGCCTCAGTTTCCCTGTCCCAGCAGAACAGTCTGGAGTTTTCCCCTTATGGAATCTGATACTACATTTGGTCCACAGTTGGTTGACTCAGGAAACACGGAGTACATCATCCGAGCTCGGCAGGTGGACGTTTTCCTGTGCTTACAGCCACATAGCAGACGTAGGCTTCTTTCATTGGGTCCGAGCCCTTAGACTTTCTCCAGCTGATGACATGTTACATAATTGTTCCTTAGCAAATTTTTACAAATAAAGTCTTCCGGCAGTTGGCGGATGGACAGACCCCGCCAACAAAGTGCAATGATAAACCAAAAAAGATACCTTCCAGGGAGCCCAGTAGGTGCAGTGTGGCTAGCACGGTGTGGGTATGAATATGTCTACATGGATAATGGTGCCACGTAACATGGCTGCTTGTCCCAGAGCTTGACAAATGCCGTATGAGCCCCATTCTGTCGTTCAGAGACAAGGCATTTCACTTGCAGACCTAGTCTTTCCTTTCCACTTCTTTATGTCGTTCTCCCCATGGGATCGCAGGCAGGCGCACAGTTAGGTAACAAAGGACCATCGGGAAAACATCATCTAGGTGGGTTGTATTTGTTCCCATGTTTCCTGAGAAGTTAGGGTGAAGGGAGGAGGCAGAACTTGGACCCTGCCAGCAAATCTTCTCTTCTTTTCTCCTTTCAATGCACGAACATGTACAGAATCTCTCTGGGCAAGGGAGACAGACCTCACTTAGTGGTTCATTTAGATTCTGCATGAATCTAAATTCATGTCTTCAAGGAAGATATTGTTTTATTCTTCATGGTAGGAGGGGCAATTTCTTCAAATTGACCATTCCCCCCCCCCACTCTTTTCCGAAGTAGCCTGTTTACAATCTCCTCTTGTAGATTATGGTACTTAGTAGAGACAAGTAAAGAGAAATTCAGACACTGAAAAGCTTCAAGACATCCCGCAGAGTTGGAATGCTTTTTACAAAGGGGAAAAAAATCTGCAAATGTGTATGTACTTGCTTCTCTCCCCGAAAGAGCCAGCTGGACAGCCCATAAACGGTTCCTATTCAGGAACAACAAAAGCCTGTGTCAGAAGTCAAGGGACAGGAGGCTGAGAACTAATAATAATTTTGCACTTACTCAGCAGTTTTCATCCAAAGACCTCAGAGTGCTTTATAAACATTAATTAAATTGCCCTGCAACCCCGTGAGATGGCTATGTATCACTATTTTCAATTTGCAGGGGGTGGAGGGAGGAGAGAGGTATGCATGGAGTGAAGTTGGAACTGGGCCATGCGACGATGCACGTGGCTTGTGGACTCAGAAATAGCAATAGGATCTCGTCCCCCATGAAGCCAAGGCTAGGGTCATGCGCCACAGTACCTGCTGGGCTGCAGAGGAGATGGTCTGGCAACCGAGCAGCTTTGGACCCCTCCCCTCCAGTGGGAGCCACCTTGTGCACAAAGTGAACAAGGTGCCACCTGCCCTGGGCTTGAACCGTGTGGACACATGCTTATCACCACATGCCAGGCTGCTGTTACTACAGACTCATTCCTTGAGTGGCACTCGGGACGGCAGGTCGGGTTCCCCAGAGATGCTGCTTCTGCTTATCTTGCAGTGCAGTGGGGACAGCGCTGTGAAGGACTGTGATGTCCACTC